AATCTCAGCTACCCTGTGTGGGCAGCAGGAACAGTAAGAGCCTTGCTCATTTCAAGTACCAGCAGCTGCAGACTTCCCTGCATACCCACCAGACTGGGAAATCCTGCAAAAAGCTGAACAGGCTGCTAACTACGACCTAGACAAAAACTTGTGGCCAAGACAGAAACTAACAACAAAGGGAAGTACAGGAGAGATGAGTGGGAAGCTAAACTTCATTTGCTAGAAAGGCAACCCAGGCACCTACAACAGCTTCCTTTGAAATGCTTCTACTTTCACACACGTGATGAGCCATGAGCTGCAGGGATCCAGCTGTACTGATTTAAAACTGATATTAAAAAAAAACAAGGAGACTTTAAAGGCACAGAGACCTGTGGCTCAAGGGAACAACTTCTACAGAAAGTGTAGAAGCTGCACCCGAATCAGAGACAGTGTAGCACTGGCACAGGAAAGTATTGTGCAGAGGTAGGAGAGAAATGGCAGGAACTTCTGGGCAGAAGTCTCAAAAGACAATTCCTGATATCAAAAGAATATTAGAGTATGTTGGGTCAATATGAAGCCAAGGAAGACGAAAAATAAAACCTAGGCATCCTCAGACCTTACCAACTGACTGAAGGAGAAAATCTGTCTGAGCAACTGAAAACCAGTTGGACTCGGAAACAAGGAAAGAACAAAGAAGCAAAGAGCCCAGATCGGAGCAGAAAGGGTGAGTTAGCACTAAACCAAATGTAACTCAGTATCCCCCGGCAGGACAAGCCACAGGGTGCAGTGTAGCCCGTCAGTATTTGTGTGGACACAAATCCCGTATCACATAATTTACAGGCTCAGTTTATGCTCCTGGTTGCTTGCAGCTCAGGAAAGGAATGGATGCACACAGCTGCCTTGGTGTCTTTGACCTGGGCCATCTAATTTAAAACTACCAGGGAGGAGCTCCTGCCACTAAGGGAGGGAAATATCACTGTAGAGAAGGTTGGTATCTTTGAGGTTGCTCTCCCAAATGGATGCAGCACAGAACAGCTGACTATAATTGAGCCACTAAAATACTTTCTTAATATAATTAACAGGTCAAGAGATTTCAGCAAAGAGAGTTGTTTGGCTTTCAGTACAACACAGGTGTTAGAACCTCATCTTGTAAATCCCTTGCGGAGCCGAGCCACAGCTAGCACAGGAACAAACTTACAGGAGAAGATAAACAAAATAGCTAAGTAAAAAAGACACCCACATCTGGACTGCTGTAAAAAAAAAAAAAAAAGACACTGAGAAACTAGAGAGAATCCAGCATAAGGCCACAAACGCACAGGCACAAAGAGCCTGGAGCACAGCAGAGATGGAGGAAGCTGGGTTTATTCAGCTTGGAGAAAAGATGCTTAAGGAGGGATTTAGCAGCTTTCTGAGACTACTTAAAAGGGGCTGGGGGGGTTTAGAGATGATGAGTCAGATTCTCCTTTGTGGGACACAGCAAAAGGACAAGAGGCAATAGACATAACTTGCAGCAAGGGAAATTCTGAGTAGGTATCAGGAAAAATTGCACACGTGCTCCCCCCCAAGGGCAGTTTAGCACTTGCCACAAGCGTCCAGAACGGCTGGGGAACCTCCACCCTGGAAGATGTTCAGGACTCACCTGAGCAAGGCCCTGAGCAACCTGATCTAGCTCTGTTGTGATCAGAGGGCTGGACTATGCGATCCAGAGGTCAAAACAGTTGTTAAATAATAGAGGGAAAGGTTATGTATAGAGTTTCTTTTCCCCTAAGCCTCTATTTGCAGCTATTTGTAGAGTCAACAGTCAAATCCATAACAAATTAACAAATTTAGCATCCTCTGGCAAGGAGTTCTACTGCTCAGCTACAGAAACACCCCCTCCTTTGACCTGCTTATAACCTGCTCCCTCCCTCATTTTTATTAACATTTGGTTGTTGCAAAGAAAGATCAGTGACTGATTCCTGTTCCCCCCACCCTGCTCCAAGCTGCTCATGGTAACAGACCCGTAACATCCGTATGCATCCTCAGCTCTTTGCCAGGCTGAAGACTCCAGTGCTACTAAGGCGATCTTTGTACAGAACTATTCTACACCTCTGATCACCTTTGCTGTCCCTCTCCGAGATGTCTCCCACTCTGGCTCCTTGTTTTGGAGATAAGGGTGATGGTGGCAGAGAACTGTGGTGTTCAAGATGCTGCTGAGTCTCGGACAGTGATGACTTTTGATGTTCACCACAACCAGCATTAAGCCAACAACTGCAGGGTCTTTTATATATATATATACATATATATATATATATATATAATAAAAGTTTCACTCCACAGAGGTTACAACTAGTTCACAGTCATTTTATATGTAAATTTTGAATTATTTTTCTGCATGAACATTGTTTTACATAGGCCTATATGGAATTTCATCTGCTGTTCTATTGCCCACTTGTTCACCATCATAAGGTCCTTCTGCAATTATTCACAGTCAACTCCCACTCCATTATCCTGAATAACTTTCTACCATCACCCAATTTTCTCACCTCACCAAGCTGTATTCCCAGGTCACTTGGGAATATACTGAACGGTGTATATTTCAGGTTAGGCCTCTGTGATCTGGCCACTGATGACTTCCCTTTGCTGTAAAAATGGGGTGTTAATTTCCATCTTCCATTTCCTACTTTTTATTAATTATTTACCTAAGAAAACCTTAAACGTCTTTTTTTATGCTATGACTTCAACTTTATTTAAAGACTTTGATGAGAAAATCTTGTTAAATTCTTTAAACCCAAGGAAACTGTATTGGCCAGACCTGCCTTATCTACAACCTTGCTAGGTCCCTCAAAAATCTCCAGTTTAACAGGACAGGATTTGCCTTTACAAAAACAAGTGCTGGCTCTTTCTTTAGTATCACATTCATTGCTTTCTCTGTTATAATGTCTACCCTCTTGCTCAGATGATGATTTTACTGTTCCGTGCTTCCCTTGCACTTGGGGGATCTAATTTGGAACCCTTTTTGAAAATGAGCATTGCATTCATTACTTCTAATTCTCAGCCCTGAGATGATTTCAGCAAGGTTTTGCTGTTCTGCACAGAACTACATTCTAGTTCAGTCTAGTTAGTGCAGAGTGAAGGCCATTTGGGCTTAGGGAACAGACAGATGGACCCTCTTCCTGGGCCTGGCTGAAGCCAGATGCTCTCTGTCAGGCTATGGGACCCCAGGACAGTGCTGCACCAACAAGGTTGCTCAAATCCTTACCACAGAGTAATGCTAGAACGAATCCCATTTCCTGACACCCTGCAACTGCAGTCTCCAGAGTAGAGCACCTGTTTGAACTGACCAAGAAGGTTGTATGTCCTCTTGTTCCATAGAGGGCTAGAAAGACTGTAGCAAATCAAGAAATAACCGGGATTTTAAAGGTCAGACAGCTGACCTCTCTCTGCGCCTAACACACTGAGAGATACTCTAGCTGTGGGGTGGCAGAGGAACTGCAAACCCCTTATCAAACTGAGAAGGAGCAACAGTAACAGCAATAATGATCTAAAACACTGGGAGCTCCAGTTCTCTGGCTATTAGAAGGTGGGGTTTTTTTTCCTTCTATGCCTAATTCCTAGTGCCAGTATTTTTATTTTTCTCATCAACAATTCTTGTTTTCTAGCCCTAACTAGCATTCATAGCACTCACCCACGGGATGGCATCAGGATGTTGTCTCTCAGATCCCCACTGATGGAGGACTGACAGGAGCTGGTGGAGGAAGTACCACAGCCCTCAACCCAGGGGGTCCTACTAAAAAAAAATAAAGCAAGATTGGAATTATCAGGACAGTATCTTGAGATGGATTTGGGAGAGAAATCAAAGATCTTGGTAGTGGAGGGGTGGACTCGCACCCTCCCAACAGGGCTATACGCTCATGGCGGTGAGTGCCAGGGCTCTGGAGCAGCAGCTGGCAGTGTTTGCGGGCTGCGGCACCTCCGGTGACTCACCTGATCCGCACAGGCAGAGTCCTGAACTCCGCCTGTTCCTAGGCGGACTGAGAAGAAGGTAGCTCCAGGACAGGCAAACCTCAGGCCTCAAGTAGAGGGTTTAATTGTCACCATTTGCAAAGTGCTTCCTGGACTGTAGTTAATGAATAATCAGAGGGGTGGGGGAAGGCCAAGGCCAAGCTGGGAGAGGTAGATGGAGACGGAAGGGACCTACTGCTCTTCCTGCCTCCTATCCACTGCTCACGCCCTCCCTGGCTACATTCCTGCCTGGTTTGTAATGAAAGGCACAGAAGCAGCTCTCTCACACCTGGCTCACAGCTCCCTGCTTTCCCAGGCTGGCTCCTTCACCCCTGGCTCTGCCACCCTCCTCAAAGATCTCAACTCTTCAAAGGGCAATGGGCACATGGGGCAGGAGGCTACAAACAGATATACCTGATGTCCCTCCATTTGAATCGCACTGGAAACACAGAATGTTACTCTGGAGAGAGGCTATTCCACGAGATTGATCCCTCTACAGTCCCAAAAATGTGAGGTACGATTTTATGTTGTTTATGTTGTTCTAATCCAGGCTGCAGCCAAATGGGGAAAGCCCAGCCCTCCCACACTCTGCCGCTCCCTGCTGCGTCTCTCTGCTGCCTTTTTCACTAGGGATAATGTGCTGGATTGCACATTCAGCCAGAAAAAAAGGCAGCCACAGACACTAGAGGCATGAGTAAGTTAGCACTGACTCTGCTGGGGGCAGCAGGCTCAGTGGCATTAACAGCACTTGGTCTGCTTAGTGACACATTACCTAGTATGTTTGAAACAACACATTTGTAAATGCTTGCTCTTAAGGCCTAGCACCTCCTACTAAAAAAAAGTCTCTTTGATAAGGCTTCACAATAAGGCTCTGCACAAACCTTTTTGCAGAAGGTAGTGCATACTGGGTCTTCTGGAACAGCAGCACATGTGTCATGAGGCAGGCACTGCTGTACCTGTACCTGCCCCTGCCCCAGGGAGCAGCACCCGTGCCTGGGGAGCACCACTGAGCTCATGGTCATTTCATAGAACACGGGCATTTTCAACACACGTTTTATTCACGAGCGGACACACGAGAGGGCACGAAGCATCCCGTTCCCTCCAGGTCAGCATCTCCCTTGTTCAAGTGCTCCATTCCCAGGGCTGACAGGACCTGCACCTTGGGAAGGAAGGCACCAGCCGGAGCAGCGGGAATGCTCCGCGGGCTCAGGAAGCGGCAACTCCGCCAGTCCCGGCCCCGTGCGGCGGCAGCGTCATGGGCGGCAGGAACATGGCCTTGAGCTTGCCCGACATGCTGGCGATCTCCGGGTCCTGCGACTCGTAGGACTTGATCAGGCGGGCGAACTTCAGGACCCCTGCAAGGAGAGAGGGTGGGCAGGGGGCCCTCGCTGCCCCGGCGGGCCCAGAGCTCCCTGCCCGGCGGGGGCACAACCCACCTTCGCCATCGCTGCTGAAGCCGTAGGCCTTGATCACGTCCTGCTGGATCTGGGTGGCCACAGGCAGCAGGAACTGCAGCATCTTGCCCATGTCGTTGCAGGCGTTGTCCCGAGCCTCCTCCATGCGCTGCGCGTTTTCGGGCGCCCCGAACGCCTTGATCACCTCCGCCAGCACCGCTGCAGGACACGGAGACACGGACACTCAGCTATCTATCATCCTCCCGTACTCACCGCCGCGGGACGCGGGCACTCAGCCGCCCGGGAGATGGGGAGGTGCGGGGATGGAGATGAGGAAATGGAGCAACCCTGGTGCGCTCACCCTTCGCCTGCTCGGCGCTGAGCGCTGCCGGGCCCGCGGGCTGCGCGGACGCCGCCATGGGGCGCGGCGGGGCGGCCGCGGCTCCGGGCCGGCGGACAACTACACTGCCCTCATCCGCGCCTGCGCCTCCCCGCCCCTCTCTGCCATTGCACCGGTGGGTGTGGCGGCTTCCCGCGAGAGCGGGAAACCTGCTGGACAAATTCTAAAAGAGCTGAAATCACTGCCGGAAACGAGTCCCCAGCGGGGCTCCGCTCCTGGCCGACCCGCCCTGCGGTGAGGGCGAGAAGCCCTCTTTCCCTAGATTGTTGCCCCCGAGGTTCCCCGGCCCCGCCACCCCCGTCCGCCCCTCCCCGCGCTCACATCGGCGGCCGCCGCCGACAAACGAGCCCGGCCGCGCCGGTCGGGCCGTATGCAAATCAGCAGCTTCCCATTGGCGCTGCCGTGCGCAAGCCCCGCCCCTCTCGGCGAAGGGGGCGTGGCTCCTGCCCACCGGCTCCTCCGCGGCTTTCCCCGGTCCCAGCCCTTCCCTGTTTTCACCGAGAAAGCTTGTGTTAGTGCCCTTCCCCTCATGGCCCCGGGGAAAAGAAATGAACACACTGGAGTCCTGTTTCTGGAAGGGGTTTTTTTGTCCTTTTTTTTTGTCCTTTTGTAAGAGCTTCATATATATATTTATATATATAAATTATTAGAATGTGTGTCGGTGCGCGGGAGTGCAAGGGGAACGTAGTTTGGGTGTTTGGCTTTGCTTTTTTTTTCCATAGCTGTGTTGTTGGTTGTTTTTCCTTTTAATGGTTAAGTAAATATATATATATATATATGGGGGACCAATCGAGAGATACAACTGTGAAATCAGAACACGCACGCAGGGGCAAGGGAGTCACAAGTTGCTACATAAAACTGCCACGTCTAATAGGATGTGCATGAGTTAAAGTACATCAATTAGGATGGGTGAGGGGAAAGGAGCAGCCGCCCTCTTACAGTCCCAGGACTCAGTGTCACTGCTCAGCCACATCATCTCTCCCCGTGGGGCTCAGAGGGGTTGCAGTGGTGATCGCAGTCTTGAAAACAGTCTCCTGGTGCTTTGCACCTCGTGGCCGTGCCCATTCCCATCAGCCACAGGAAAGCACAGCCACTATCCAGCAAACAGTCTTGCGGTGCTTTGCACCCCGATGGCTGGGACCAGACCCCAGACCCTCCGTAGGCAGGAGTGGCCACTTAGGAAGGGGTCCTGTAACACTTTGTTTGCATCTGAAGGGATGTCGGAGAATGGGAAGCTGCTCTGGCTAATCTGAAAAAGTTCCACGTTGCTCTTCTGTATCGCTAAGCAGTATCTTACACTTAAAGGGGGGTGGGGTGTTGAGGAGGCATCTTGAAAAAAGGCTCTGTTGGGTTTGGAGTTACTTCTTGGCTGCACCTCCTCCTCACAGAAGTAGAAAAGGCAGCACCATCCTGTACATGAAGTCCTGCAATGCTCTGCACTTTTTATTTAATGCAAGTGTTACCCCAAAATAAAGGATGGAGCTGCTGCCACCCTGAATTCATGTCAGTTTTTGTCTTTCTGAGCTCTGTGCAATGCTGATTCTCTTTTCTTCAGAGCTCAGCTGAAATCACGTACCGATTGTTTCATGTCCGTTAGTGGTGTTTCAGTCCCTCCCCATTTTCTCTCCTCCACTTTCTGTTCCCAGGATGCCACCCTGTACTTTTCGTCCGTCTTCTCTTGTACTCTTACTGCATGGTGGGATCAGGATGTGTCACTTTGCAGCTTCCCCTTCATCAGGATTCGGTTGATTGATTGTTCCTCTTAAGAGAAAGACATGATGATGTCATGTTGACAGCAGAAGTCCATTTAAAGGGGTTTGTCACTTTCCTTCTTCAGGTGGCTAGGATAAAGAAGAGGAATGAGGTGATTGTGAAAGGGGAAAAGACAATTTATTACGTCCCCCTGCCTCTGTTAGTCTAGACCCACATGACACTGCTGGCTTGCAAAGTTTGGCAAATCCTTGAAGTAGGAGATGCTATTGAAGGTAAAACACTGCACCTCTTTCTTTCCCAGCGTGCCTCCCCACGTACATGTGAAAGCCTCGTCTTGGCAAAAGCATCAAGCCCTTGCAAATGTTTTGTATTCTGGCAGGGCTATTGGTTAGTCATAACGGCATTTAGCATGTGTGAAACATGTAAAGTTCTTTCCCCTTCCAGAGGTGAGGAGCCTGGCAAGTGAATAGCTACTTGCCAAGAATGACCTTTCTGTGGCCAGCCCACAGCTGTTCCCCATGGCAAGGCAAGGCATCCCTGCTCCCAGGTGTGGGCTCAGGCAGTCACCCATCTCAGGGGCAATGCTTCCTCATGCCCACCACCTCCACCAGCCCCAGGCTGGGCCTGGAGGCGTATGTGTGAGGTGAGAGCAGGCCCACACACCTGTAGTAATCCTCCTGCGTCGGGAGTGGCACGCCGTGCAGGGGGTGATGGGCGTGAAGCCACTGCTGCTGCTCCAGGGCCAGGCGCTGCAGCTCAGCCGACTGCGCGTGCATGGCCTGCAGCTGGTGTGCTGCTGACATGGGCGCGGAGAGAGAGCCCGGCAGGTCCCTGTAGGGTGCAGCTGCACCCGAAACAGAGAAGAAACAAGTTGATGAAACAGCTCCATCCATGGCCCCACAGCTCAGTCAAGACTGCTGCACTCCCATTCCCTGCCCTGCCCACATGGAGGACCTGCCCACTCCCTGATAGAGTGGTCCTGTCCTACACCATGCCGAAGCTCTGTTCGACAGACCTGTTTGGTCCTGTGACCCCTCCTGACGCCCCTGCCTGTCAGAGCTCTGTTGATCTCTCAGGAGGAGACCAGCAGAACCTGTGAGCATCCTTACCAAAAAGCTGGTGGCGAAGCACTTCATTCTCATGAAGAGGGTGAGGCAGGAGAGGGTTGGGGATGGTTCCAGCTGGGTATGGTATCCGGGTGAGGTGTGATCCCGAGGCAAGTGGGTCAATAAGAGGGTGAACAGAGGCTGAGGCTGGGAACAAAAGATAACACAAGATAATTGTCCCATGCTTTGTAAAAGCTAACATGAAGAAAGGTGCAAGGCCTCACAAAACAGACATGGAGAAAAGGCTGGAGTATGTTAGGGATGGAATCACTTCACAGCTAGACAATACAATACCATGTCCTTCTGAGTGTTACTCTTTTTGCCTGCATTGAGTTTCACATGAACCAGTCTGGCAGAGCTCTGTTCCCACACTCCTCAGGGAGAAGTACTGCTCCTTAAAAGTCAATTCTGCAAGGACCTGCTCTGCAATCAGGTCTGCACCCTGTATCATGCTTATCTGCCACCCTGGCAGTCATTCATGTGCGTACTTGGATGCTTCCGTTTACCGGTCTCATCCAGGACAGATGCTCTTTCCAGTGGTCTGGACTCACTGCCAGAGTGCTGGCTAGAGATGCCCAGCTATGGAGAACGGGGGAATGGACATTCATTTGTACCTGGTGCCACCTCTGAGCAGTTGTGGCTGCTTAGAGCCAGCGTCTGCCACTCTGCTACCAGATCCCACTGACTGCTCACAGCACCCGAGCAGGCACAACACTTTTTTCTTATTGTACTGTAGCTTGGGCTTTACTTCCCGAGATTTTCATCCCTTAACTTTTTACTTTGCTTTCCTGTAGGACATGGAAATGGAAGGGACCACCACTCAATTCTGAAGAACAGCAGCCTCCAGTTCCTTCTCCCATCCCATCCCATCCCATCCCATCCCATTACCTGCAGCAAGAGCTATAGCAGCAAACCTGATAACCAACATTTCATTAGTCCTAAGGACACTGTCAAAACTGTTCTAGCAGGGCTTCCATTCCCTCTGCAGAGCCCAATGTGAGGGATGAAGTCCCCAGCAACAGCAGCCTGGCAGCCAGTGGGATGGATCCCAGCACTTATACTGTGTCCTCAGAGATCCAGAATGAAAGGACATGGTGCAAACAATTCTGCTTGCCACTAAACAGCAGTGTCAGTGCCTTTGGTGGGATGGGAGTGAGGGCAAGGAATAACAACCATGATGTTGGGCTCTTCTGGCTGAAGATCTGTGACCTTAAAGTCTAGTGTCAGCAGCTTTTGGGCTTCCCCAGTGCCAGAGGGAGGGAGCGTAAGGAGGACACATTAGACTAGAGAGCAGGGCTTTGTGCAGGGCACCACCACCACAGGGTCCTTACCCGCGTGTATGGCATCCTGCTGGTGGAGATGGAGGTGGGAGTGGATGTGGGAATGCTGATGATGATGAGGTGTCACATTGAGCATCTGCAGCCGGGCCAGAGGGTCATTGCTGAGAGCAGCCACTCGCTCGGCGTGCTGGCGTTCAGCCGCCAAGCGCTCAGCATAGGACATGTCGGGACGAAGAGTGGGGCCAGCTGCCAGCGCCAGCCTCTCCCGCTCCAAGTGGCCCAGCCCTGGGTGGAAGGGAAAAGCGGGATGAAGGCCAGGGGCTGTTTGCAGACTCAGCCCGCCATGGCGTGGGAACGGATCCATGGCAGCAGCCGGCACAGCATGGAGCTGCTCCAACTCAGCTGGTTTGACTTCAAAGCCGGGCTTGAGACGTTCACGCAGGTCCCGGTCCCTCAGGTCTCGTTCGCGGGCTTCCCGTTCCCTCAGCTCCCGCTCCCGCGTCGCTGGATCGCTGCTGTAGATGGCTGGCACGTTGTACCCCAGCAAGCCCGGGTCGACTGCCCCCAGCGGCACGTAGAAGGGGTGGTTGCGGTTGCTGGGGGACATGACATGGGGCCGTGCGTATTCACTCAAGGTGCGCAGAGCCGGGGTGTCAGGGCCCAGGTATGGGGGAACAGTGGCTACAGCACTGCCCTGCTCGAAGGAGGGGCGGTGGGGAACTGGCCCAAGGGACGAGCACTCGACTGGACGGCCCTCCTGGGCCATCTTCTGCAAAAGAGCAAAGAGACCAGCTTCAGGGTCCCAGCAGGGAGTGGCCGAGGGGGCCCTAGAGCATCCACCCTGGCTGTGCTGCAGCCGTGGGACCCCCAGACCTACCACACTCCTCTCCAGCTCTCGTTCCTTCTCCCGCTCTCGCTCCTTCTCCCGCTCCCGCTCCCGTTCCCGCTCCTTCTCTTCACGCGCCTTCTGCTCAGCCTCTCGCCGCACTTTCTCCACCAAGTCTGCCCTTTTCTTGGCCAGCTTGGAGCCATCAAGGGGCACGAAGTACAGGTCAGTGCGGGAGCAGGAGTTGAAGCCACGGTCCAGGTGTTTGTTGAATCTGGGGGTGAGACATGAAGCCTGTCAGTGCTGAAGGGGTTGGAGAGAAGGGATAGGGACAGGGATAGGTACTGTGGGAAAGACACTGAGAGAAAGTGAAAAGTATCATGAAAAAGGCAAAAAGGGAGCAGCTGCACCTCAGGCTTGGAGTGATTTCCTCTTCCCTGCCCCTTATATCACACCCCAGCCTACAGAGAACCCCCCACAGCTGCCCCTCACCTGGCTGACTGGCTGGCATGGCTTGGCACATCCACCACCTTGGGGGGCGGCGAGGGGCTGCGAGCAGGAGGCACAGGGCTCTCAGGGGGCTCGTACTCCTCTGATGGCTCCTGCTTGATCTGCGCAGCACTGAGGGGGAGTGGGGGCGGTGGGGGGGCTGGGGCAGTCATGCTCCCCGGCAAGGGTGGTGGGGCAGAAGGGGCGGGTGAAGGGGCTTTGTAGCCGCCCGTCACAGGGGAGGAGGCCACCCGGTAGCCAGGAGGGGTGGCTGCCCGGAAAGGGGCAGCTGAGGAAGTGGGGGGTGAGCCTGGCTTGTAGGGGGCTGGGGGCTGGAAGGTGGGGACAGGGGAGGCCGCACGCTTCCCATATGGGGCCACAGCTGAAGGGGGTACCGGAGGTGAGACTGTCTTGTAGGGGGCTGCAGAGGGGGAGGCCATGGTGGCGATTACAGTGGAGAGGGTGGTGGCAGCAGAGGTGACCGGAGGGCCAGCACCATGGGCAGGGGAGGGGGGGGGTGGAGGGGGGAAAGTGTAGGTGGCAGGATTCTGTCCCGGGGGGTGAGAGCACATGCTGGGGTAGCTTCCTTGGGAAGAGGCGGCAGAGGAGGATGAGGAAGAAGAAGAGGATGAGGAGGAGGAAGAGGGGGCTGTGGCCGCGGTGGCCGAGGGAGCCTGGCTGTAGGCAGCCTGGCTGTGGGGAGGGTAGAGGCGCAGCCCGTAGGTGGGATGGGAAGGGTGATGGCTGTTAGACTCCAGGCCATGGGGGTAGCCAGGGGGCTGGGGAGGAGCTGCAGCTGCTGGGGAGACACCCCCGCTGCTCCCATGGCTGTGGTGGTGCTGCTGGGGCGGCTGCTGGTGATGGGGGGACTGGCCGGGGAAGGGGGCAGCAGGGTGGGAGCCAGCATTGCCCAAGGGCCGGCTGTAAGGGGGTGGCCCCTGGCTCCAGACGGGCTGCGAAGGCAGGGAGGGCTGGGTGTACTTGGGGGGCTGGCTGGAGACAGAGAGGCCACTGGGTGGGGGAAAGGAGTGCCCGTAGGAAGCGCTGTAACTGGGCAGGGGCTGGCCCGGGGAGGGCTGGGGGTACTGAGCTGAGGAGCTGGAGGGTGGTAGAGGTGGTGGGGCATAGGGGTAGCGGGAGGGGGCCAGGGCTGGTGCCTTGTCCTGCCCCATGCCGTGGGGCGAGGGGAGGTGGCCGCTCAGGCCCTGACCCACCATCCCCGGAGAGCTGGAGGCAGCCACTGTGTTGTTGAGGGGGCGCAGGGCTGGGGGGGGAGGCAGGTTGGCAGAGACGTGAGGGAAGGAAGGGGCTGAAGCTGGGGGGGCAGCTGGAGGGTTGGCTGGGGGCGTCTTTTGAGGGGGGAGCCCCCCTCCTACTGACGCCAGCGAGATTGGGGTGGTGGGTGGTGGATTGTGCTTGGCGCTGAGGGTCTGCTCGCGACCCCCTGGTGCTGGGAGCCCCCCCACTCCACTGGCAATTTTGGTCCCAACCTGGACCACATTGGTTGAAGGGTAAAGGGGAGTGTGGGAAGAGGAGGAGGAAGAAGAGGAGGAAGAGGATGAAGAGGAAGGGGGAGCAGAAGGGGCAGCAACAGCAGAGGAGGAGGAGGAGGCGGGTGTCTGTGGGGCTTGAGCCTGGAAAATGCGGGAAGCTTGGCCCTCCAGCTGTGAATGGTAACTTCCTGCAGGGGGTCCTTGGGGGTGCACCTCGCCTGGGAGCCCAAAGCTGGGCTCTGGTGGACGGGCCAGGCTGTCGGGAGGGGGAGCTACCGGTGGGCTCTGGGGGAAGAGCGGAGGGTGGTGGTAGGAGTGAGACGGCCCCTGGGACAGCACAGAGGAGGAGTCGGAGTCATTCTCCACACTCCCGGGGCTGTAGACACTGGGAGAGGTGCTCCTGTTATCCTGGTCAATGTCCCGTGGGTCACTGCTCATCTCATCGTTGAAGCTGTGGCCATCAAGGCTGTCAACATCGGATGGGGATGGAGGGCAGGGCAACTCCTGAAGTAGGAAGGAGGAGAAAAGACACATTAGGAAGCCTCCCAGACCACACCTAACACATTTCAAGTTCCCAGAAAACTTGCTTTCCAGCCCTTCCTTGCCAGCCCCAGCACTAGAAAAGCCCACAGAGGAAAGGAGACATCGTCTGGCAAGGAATAAATAACATGTCCTCCTGCCTCCCCTCTAGTGCTCTCACATCCTTCATGAGCATCTGAAAAAATATCACTGTTGAGCTGAATGGAGTGCCCACGTGGAGAAATTACAAAGTTGTAACCACAGTGGTTTAACTACAATGACCTCATAATGTGAGCAAATATCCCAGTGTCTGCAGCCTCTAAGGCCAGTTCCCAGAACAGGAATGGAGAAGCGCAAGAGCTGAGTCTTCTTCCAACCATCCAACTACCAATCCAGGCTGATGCTGTCAGCTTCTGGAAAAGTCCTGTCACAACTCTGTGTGTGCATGAGCAGGTTTTGCACGACTGTCACCTGGAACCCATCACAACTTAAGCACCTCCATTTCACACTGCGCTAGGGGATCGGAAGAGGCTGACTAACCCAACGAGCAGCTGCGCATGGAGCCAGGCTCTTGCCACTAACCTGGGAAAGGCAGGGCATGTGCCCGGCTCCAAGAGCACAGCAGTCCCCTGCAGACAAGGCAAAACAGACAGAGAGCCTCTGTCTCCTCAGTTGTCTCTCCTGGTGGCATTTTTTGTAGCCAGACAGATGCCATTTAGATTGCAAGAGCTGCAGTGCAAAACAAGGTGCTGGGGATCCCAAGCAGTGGGAACCTCAAGCTGGACAGGCGTGAGCAGCACAGGTAGGAAAACAGGAGATTCCTTTGCCCTGGACTTGGGGCATGCCAGCAATCACAGCAGTGAGAACTCACCTCGGTTTTGGTTTTTTTGGGAGCATTAGTGTCCTCCCCTTCACTCTCTGAGATCTCTTCTGTTCGGCCCTGTTTGTTGCCCTTGGGGGTGCAGGATTCCTCCACTCGGCCCTTCTGCAAGGAAGAGAAGGAGAACAGGGAGATGGGAGGGTCATGGGGCAATTTCCCAACCTGCCACACCTTCACAGAATGCAGCAGGTGAGACACAGCCACCATGGCATGTGTGTTGATAACACTAGCAGAGCAACAAGGAGCCAGGATATGGCAAAAATTAGCACTAAAAGGGGATGGTGGGACCAAGGACCAGTTCTTAGGAGATGGCAGGAAGTGCAAGACGGTGAGGATAAGAGCAGAGGGATCCTGCTCGTTTTAGGGAGCTAACCCAGCATGGGTTCCTTGGTGGATCCCTTCTGGTCTGTGTTCCTGGATCCTCAAATGGATCGTACCTAGTCTGGGCAGTCCTTGGCCACACCACACCTGCGTGCTAGCTTATACCTTTGTCGCTTGTCGGGATTTCTCAGCCTTGCCATCGCTGCTGGAGGTGCTGACGCCCCCGGGGGAAGCTCGACCCCGTGACCTGAGTTCCTCTCGGGGCCCTGGAGTCTCTTTCTTCCGTCCACTCCGCATTGACATCTAAGGGAAGGATCACTGTATCAGTCCTGCATGGCATCTCCCTCCACTCCTGCCTTGTCCCCAGCCTCCCAAAGCCCCTGAATCCCTGGCACTCCACTGTGCCAAACTCATGCCCACTAGCTTGCTGGGAGCCTCAGTCCCAACCCACAGGTCCAGCTTGGCTCTCACGTCCCACCCCCCTCTCCTATCTCACGTACTGAGTCCTTGTTCTGTCGTGTCTTCATTCTTTTGGGTGCGGGACCCCCATTCTCCTTGGTCCGGTTAGATGAAAACATAAATTTTTGTCACTCTGCACCCCCTTTGGCTGTTCCCAAGGAGACAGAGATGGGCAGTTCTTCTGGAAGGGAGGCTTGCACCAGTCACACAAGAAGATCCTGATGAATCCTGAAAGGCAGACAAGCACAAGAGAGGGGAGAAAGACTGAGTGGACTGTAGAACATATTTTTGTGGTTTGCTACAGAAATATGACAAAATTATTATTGTTTCCTTATTTAAAGATGCAAGGATGTTTACCAAGAACTCAAAAAACTTTTCCATCAGTGGGGAAAAAGATTTGCCCACTGCCATACCTGAGTTCCAGTTTCTGGGAGTGACACCCACACAATGAGAGGTATTCCTTTTTAATGACTTCAAACTGAGAGAAGGCAGGTTTAGATTAGATCTGAGGAAGAAACTCTTTACTGTGAGGGTGGTGAGGCACTGGAACAGGTTGCGCTGAGAAGCTGTAGATGCCTCAACCCTGGAACTGTTCAAAGCCAGGCCAGATGGAGCTGTGAGCAACCTGGTCCATGGAAGGTGTCCCTGCCCATGGCAAAGGGGTTGGAACTAGGTGATCTTTAAGGTCCCTTTCAACCCAAACCATTCTGTGGTTCTCTGATTCTATGATTCAGGGCCCATCAATAATGCTTTGGAGGTAACACGGAGGAATGGTTATCAAGATTTTCGCTGTCTTCTGAAATAATTTTAGCATTTTCACTTCCTCAGAAAAAATAACAGGAAAGTGCTTTAAAATGTTCCTCATGACAAACTAAGTCCCCCATTGCACTTGTCAGCACAGTAAGTTACCTCGCCATGTGCTGTCATTCGCCAGCCCTGTGTCGTGGGCCCCCAGTGGCCTTTGCTGAAGTCTTGCTTAGGCTGGTCCATGCCCAAGGTACACAAACAGGTGCAAGAAAATGCATTTGGCTTTGATTTTGCATGATGCAAACAGAACTGTCTCTGTTTAGCCTGGAGTGCCTGCCAAGGTCTCCTTCTCCATACACTGGATGTTTCTCGGTGTAATAGAATCATGCCCAGAGATGCAGAGTACATCACATCCTTACATTTTGCAGCAGCGGGAAGATTTCTGAACCAATTTACAGCTTTGTGCCATGTCCAAAAGCACCATATATATTTAACACCCTGTTATACCACACAGTTCCTACTTTAGAGTATGAAAGCACCATGATTGTGTTAGCCTGGGAACTGGACTGAAATGATTCAGGGATGCTGCTCCTGAAGCAAGTTTCCTTGACTTCATCACGCCTGAGATCTTCTGCACTGCACTGCACTGCACAGATGTAACCAAAAAGACTTTATCCTTCCCCAGCCTGTCATTTGAGCTCCTATTCTCAGACTTTAGAATGGACAATTCACAAGACAAGCGATATGCGTCATGTGGATAAGGCATCAGGAGAAAAGAGTCACATCTACTGGGTTATGGTCTCTGATCTGGAGGCACAGAGAAGTTTTGTGAATAAGAAGACTACAGATTTGGGACTACCAAAGGCTGTCTTAGACTTAGAAAGTTCAGCTTCCAGCCGAGCAGCGCAGGAGCAATCTGGATGGACTTCCATTTCTCTGAGACAGGAGCTGAAACCTCAGGGGTTTTGGAGAGATCAGAGCAAAAGCACCAGACAGCAGACCTCCTGTGCAACCCTGCTGCTGGCCTGTGAGGCCCCAGGGTCACTGTCTTCCACCACCCTCATCTCCCTGCCCATGAAAAGGGAATAATGACACCGGCCTGTCTCTCCTGGGGCTCCACATCTTCCCCGACCAATGCTTAGAGAAACCCATCCGGAAGGCACTTAGGAAGAGCAGGGGGTTGTTTGTTTTAATTTCATTAATATTTTATTTGACCCTCATCACAAAAGCCACAGGGGACTCATCCAGCATTAATTCCCACACACATCAATTCATTAACTTAGACCTCTTCTTTAATAGAAAAATAGCTGATGATGGTTTATAACTGACCTAATGGAGGCAGAGCCTGCTCCCAATCCCTATCAGCTGACTTGTTTTACAGCCTTACATTTCTGCCATGCTTTGCCCTTTGGTTGCTAATTCAGCCAGTTACATTGGTGCTATTCTAGATAAGCATTTAGAATTAACATTTCTTACATGAAACAAACATTTTAGGTAGGGTAATCCTAATTTAATTCAACTTTGACACACACCATGGTGGCAGCCTACAAGTATTAGCTCAGCTCTGAAGGCACAGCAGCAGCAACAGCACGCTGCCAACATGTCACTGCTCTACATTCCACAGGGTTGCCACCCACACCTCCCACACCAAAGAACCCAACCTGGTACTGCAGTACACAGGTCTCACTTCAGCTTTTCAGTAACCCTGTAGTGACAATTAGAAGCTTCTTTCCAGAAAAGTCAGAGAAGTAATACGCAGCCAACCACAGACCAAAACTTCCCTTTTTAACAGAGATATACCCACCTGGTACTTATGTCAACTGCTGAATATGCAGTACCAAACAAAGCCAGAAACAAATAGGGGTGTTTCAGGAGACATAATCAACTCCTGACTGAGACATAAGTTTCTGTCACTTAGTGAAGACTTTTCTAAAATATGTAAGAGAACTGACACACACATTATTAGGCTCAGTAGAGAAACTGTTACGGCCAGATGAGAGGATCACAACACTGCCTTCTAATTTTAACATCTATGAAATAAAAGCTTGCAATGTGAGCCTTGACAATCAGCAAAGTTACACCTAATGCTTCCTGTCACCGAAGATCCCTGCAAATGTCTCTGAAGGGCTTTTAGGGCTCTGTGGTTTTGCTAAGGAGGTGAGATGTGGCAGGGCTGATGTCAAAGGGCTAACCTTTCCCTGGCCCTGTGAAGCCCTTTGCAGGTTTGACTGAGTTATGAGGCATTGCGAATTGCTATTTTCTATTTGCATTTCACACAACCCAGCTTGGCTTGGCTTACTGCCCAAAGCCCTCCATATTCTCGTGTAAGCCCTGGTGCAGTCTCCTGTGAGCAACACACACTCAACAGGCATCCCCCACGTGGGATTCAAAATGGATCCCGCTCCTCCTCAGCTCCAAGTAATTCTCCTTGCCAAAGCTGGACTGTCCTGCACAGACAGCCAGGAGCTAGCGAGCTCCAGTTCTTTTTCTATTGAGGGACACAGAAAAAATTCTCTCTCCTTCACAGGCAGTCGTGTGGAGCAATTCTCACAGGTAACTAAACTGAAATCAAGTCCATCTCAAATGAGAAGCACTAAGGTTTTACCTCTCTTAGAAAGTTTGTCCTTGGCTCAGGATAGCATTTGCATGTTAGAGAAAATGGGTTTGAGAAAATAAACTCTCCTAGATGGCAACGGAAGCAGAGAAAATGGGAACTAAGGTCCAGCTAGCCCTCCCTGGGGCCAGTGCCAGGAGAAGGGAGAGCTGAAGGCTCCCAGGATCCACATCACTTAAGAAAAAGGGCTAACACTATCATTACCACAGCAGTGTCTAGCTGGCAGACATTTAAGGCCTGATCCAGTCCTCACTGAGATTAGCTGCTGGTACTCAGTTGTCACGTTGCTGAGAACTCAGCTGCGCCGGGCAGGGCACGTCTCCAGGATGAAGGACCACCGCCTCCCAAGATCTTGCTTTATGGTGAACTTGCCACCAGCTGCCACATGAGAGGAGCCCCGAAGAGAAGATACAAGGACTCCCTGAAACAACATCTCAGCCTTGGCCATATTGATCACCATAACTGGTCTACTCTGGCCTCCAATCGAGAGCTCTGGAGACACACCATCTGTAACGCTGCCGTTTCCTTTGAGAACGCACGCAGGATCACTCTCAAGGAGAAAAGGCAACGCAGAAAGAATCGTGCCTTGCAGAATTTACCACCTAAGGAGTCTTTCTGCTGTGCCTTTTGCAACTGGACGTGCCTGTCTCATATTGGCCTATTTAGCCACCAGCATGATTGTGACAAATGTGGGTAGAGACCTTTCCCTAATCTTCGTTCGCAAAGCCCAGCCATGATGATGACTCAGTTGTCAATAGTTACCACAGTCTCTTCCCCTTCTTTTGTATTTCCCATCTCTTAGGGAAAGAACCCAAACCATCTGCTTGATTTTATTATTTGGTACTCTTGATCTTCTCCAACCGTAACATCCCAGTAATCTCAGGCGGATTCAGACCCGGTCCAAACAGATGGAGAGATGCACAGGCAGAACATGACTATGGTACGTGACACAGGAGCCTGCCCTGAGCTAGTTAGTGGTAATTTGGGGGTGGAGAAGAACAGCAGTGATGGAGCCTCCTCTCTCCACCAAGGCACTGCACAACAGACCATCTACTGGTTGGAGGTACTGAATATGAAGGTGTCAAGGTACATGGTTGGATCATTCAGTCTCAAAGAAGAAATTAATTAAAAACTCTGCCACCCATCAGGACCCCAAATGCTGCAAGAAAGGGCAATTTGACAGCATCTGTAGCTTTAAACAAAATGGGACAGCACCTGTTCTCTGGTCCCAGGAGTGATTGGCATTACATAGCTTACACAGAGATGGCAAACTTCCCCTGCCCTCTGAAAGGGGACAGACACATCTAACCTGGCCACTGGTAACTGGTGTGTTCCTACACCAACTCCTAAACCACACTCAGGCATCATCTGGGAGAGCACTCGCTGGCACAGGCCAAAGGCTGTACTAGGAACACCAGCCTAATGGACAGATAGTGCTGTGCCTGGCCAAGCTGAGGCCTTATTATTTGGGTACTGTAGATATAGCCATCCTCTACTAGATGCTAGTCCATGGAAAGTAAGTTTGGAGTAAGGAGTCAGTGGAGTGCCTGCTTTAGTCTAAGTAAGGATGTTCTGAAGTGCAAACCTCTTGTTTTCTTCAGTTGGGAACTGTTTAAAGTAGTGACTACTGTTTAAACTGTTTAAACAGTGACTACTCTTTAAGTCACTTTTTGAAATGTAGGAACCACATCCAGTATCCTGTGTGAAATCAAAGGCATTTGGTATTAAAAGGCAGGGACTCAGACGGAGACGTGAGAGTTAAACTGAGTCTGCTCCTTTGCCATTCAATAGCTCTGTGTTCCCATACTAGTTTTTCTCTTTCCCCTTCCGCAAAACGATGGGTTAGCACTGGAGAGAGGAACCAGGGTGACAAAACGAACACAGCTGCTTTCTAACACATTGCAGATGCTGAAAAGTGTCCCGAAAATAAGCTGGGATGATAACCAATGATCCCTCTTGACAAGCAAAGATTACTCAGATGGCCCACCGGAGCAGTATAGTCAAGGAACATGCACCATGGATGGGAAGTCTGAAGCTGTCATACACACACACACACACATATATATATATATGACTGCCCAGTGAATGATAGTCCCAGGCATTTTTAATTCCTGTCTCAATTTCCCTAATTTTATAAAATGAAGGATAGATTTCCAGAAATGTAATCAGGTTTAACAACTGTGCAGTATCTTGAAAACACTAAGTTTTGTCCAAAATGCTGCAATCAGACAGCATTTCCCAGTGGCTAATTACCTGATTTCATGCTTGAATCCTGGCATTTTACTATAGTGGAGAAAGGGAGGGAAGGAAAGGGCACTGTGTTCAGTGTTGGACAGCAGTGAATGAACAGGTCAGGGTTCAGGTTGCATGTCAGAGTCTTTTGATAGGTACTTGAAGCATGACATTACTGTAAAAGGGAAAATGACTCTGTGAGCAAAGGGATCAGGATGTCAAAATGGTTAAATACCAAGATGGCACGTGTCTGTGGCTAATATCATCTTGGTGTGAATATTCCCATGACTGGCAAATCTTTTTTATTTAATAAATCTTGTTAAGAATAAATATATTTATAAGACACCAAATGAAAGGTAGTTTTGGAACAAAGGCATTTTTCTGTCTCCTACAAAATAACTACAGCACTGGGTGGATGCAGGGGCTGTGAACTCAGGCTGGATGGTGGATTAATCAAGGAATAAGACTGTTAACCTGGGCAAATAATCATACTCCAGTTAAAACTCTCACCTACCAGTGGATAAGTTTGACTACATCCTTCCTGCAATACTAACGTGAAGCTGGAGGATCTCAGGGGACTGAAATACTCAGGAGCCCAGACTGCTTTGAGCAGCTTTCTCCACCTGTTCACCCAGTTCCTGCAGGTCACTCCTGCACCACTGCAGAGAGACACCTCGGGATCACAGCACACACCTCTGGGTCCTCAGCAGCCCACAGGTCTGCGACAGCAGCATCTGACCACCAGCTACCATCGGACATATCCGGGAAGGGCTGAGACCTGCCCTGCTAGGGAGGGTTGGCAGTACAGTGTTACTGGGCAAACTTAGACAGAAATGCCTGCAACACAAGTGAAAACTGTGATTACTGCTCAGAGGTCAAAATATAAATCCAATCTAAAACTAGAGAAAGTTGTCGATTTTTGTTATTTTATATAAAGGAATTGATTTCATACTGACATTGTACTGGAATGTCGTTGCATTCTTCCGTCTTCAAAATACGGCATAGAATGGGTCACTATGGAATGCATTAAAGTAAATTTAAACAATAAATGTAAATGTATGCTTTCAGGAACTTCACTCTGTGCCAGAGGACAAATTACACATACTTTAACACACAAGCTGAATGAACTCTCTTGATTTAGATATATGTATGTATATGAGAGCAGATTCATAATCCCATCGTAAGAGATCAGGTTTGAGACCACCTGAGGAAACTGAACATGCACAAGTCCATGGGACCCACTGAGATGCATCCCAGCGTCTTGAGGGAATTGGCTGAAATAGTTGCCAAAACCACTCCCCATGGTATTTGAAATGTTATGTCAGTCAGGGAAAATCCCCAGTGACTGGAAAAAAGGCAATATTACACCCATTTCTAAAAAGGGTAATAAGGAGGACCCTGAGAACTAGCAATCAGTCAGCCTCACCTTACTGCCTGGCAAGAACATGGAGCAGATCCTCCCGGGAGACATGTCAAAATATATGGAAGACGGGGAGCTGATTAGAGACAGCCAGGCATGACTCCACCAAGGGCAAGTTGTGCCTGACTAATCAAGTGCCTTCTAGGATGGAGTGATCACATCAGTGGACAAGTGAAGAGGTACAGATGTCATTTACCTGGACTTTTGCCAGGCCTTTGACACGGTTCGTCACAACATTGGAAATATATGGGTTTGAGAGATAAGGAATTGGATAGATGGCCATGTGCAAAGAGTTGCATCCAACAGTTGAATGCCAAAGTGGAAATCAGTAATGAATGGCATCCCTCAAGGGTCCCTACTGTGACCAATACTATTTAATACCTTCATCAATAATACAGACAGTGGGATCAAGTGCACCCTCTTCAAGTTTGCAGACGACACCAAGCCAAGTGGTTGATACTCCAGAGGGAAGGGATGCCACTCAGAGGGACCCTGACAGGCTCGAGGAGTGGAACCATAGTGAAACTCATGAAATTCAACAAGGCCAAGTGCAAGGGCCTGCACACGAGTCAGGGCAATCACCAGGATCAGTTTAGGCTGGGGACCAAAGGGACTGAGAGTAGTCCTGTGGTAAAGATCTTGGGGATACTGATGGACAAAAAATTAGGCATAAGCTGGCAATGTGTGCTTGTAGCCCAGAAAGCCAATTGTGTCCTGGGCTGCATCAAAAGCAGCATGGCCAGCAGGTTGAGGGAGGTGATTCTGCCCCTTTGTTTGCTCTGGTGAGACCCCACCTGGACTGCTGCATCCAGCTCTGGGGTCCTCGGCACAGGAAAGACCTGTCAGAGCAGGTTCAGAGGAGGCCTCAAAGGTGATCAAAGGGATGGAGCACCTCTCCTATGAAGATAGGCTGAGAGAGCTGTGGTTGCTCAGCCTGGAGAAGAGGAAACTCCAGGAAGACCTTCTTGTAGCTTTTAAGCTCAGGGTACTGAGGGAGCTGGCAGAAGTGCTCACCAAGCACCTTCCATCATTTATGACCAGTCCTGGTTAACAGGGGACGTCCCAGGTGACTACAGGTTAGCCAATGCAATAGCCTTCTACACGAAGGGTCCAAAGAAGGATCTGCGGAACTACCGGCCTGACCTCAGCGCCAGAAAAGGTTATGGAACAGATTATCTTGAGCACAATCACAGCACGTACAGGGCAAGCAGGGGATCAGGCCCAGCCAGCAAGGGTTTAGGAAAGGCAGGTTCTGCTTGACCAACCTGATGTCCTTTTATGACCAGGTGACCTGCCTAGTGGATGAGGGAAACACTGTGGATGGTGTCTACCTGGTCTTCAGTAAAGCCTTTGATACTGTCTCCCACAGCATTCTGGAGGAGCTGGCAGCCCACGGCTTGGACAGGTGCACTGTTCACCGGGTAAAAATCTTTCAGGATGGCCGGGCTCAGAGTGGTGGTGAATGGAGATACATCCAGCTGGCAGCCAGCCACTAGTGGGGTTCCCCAGGGCTCAGTGTTTGGGCCAGGCCTATTTTATATCTTTACTGATGATCCGAACAAAGGCATCGAGGGTACCCTCAGTCAGTTTGCAGACACCAAGATGGGTGGGAGTGCTGATCTGCTGAAGGGTAGGAAGAGTCTGCAGATGGACCTGGACAGGCTGGATCAATGGGCTGAATCCAACTGTATGAGGTTCAACAAGGCCAAG